CTTCCAGAGGCCAGGGACAAAGAGAGCACATTTTCTTCACCTTAAGCAACGCACAGGACCAGCCTTGATTTCTATCTAAACCTTTCTTGAGACTTGTTTTTCTTTAAGACTACAACCACGTGTAGCAGCTGCCACATAAAGAAGCACTTCCTATGAAGTTGATCAGCTTTCAAAATTTAAGAGAAGTAGTGCTCTTGCATTCTAGAACACTGGGAGCTGATGAACAAGATCGGACTTCAGTGCTGCAGAAGTCCTGTGCATGCGACTCCACAGAACAACACCTGAGGACCTAAAGGCATTTACCAAAGACTGATGACCTTTAGTCATCAGCATGGAAGAAGATGCCCAAAAGAACATGGGTAAAAATTAAAATTTACATGGAGCGGGGAAACATAGACAGATGAAGTCTGACTGGCATGCATGAGGACACTAAAGAAATGAGATTAATTCCCTAATCCACAATTCACTGTTTGTGTGACCTTGGGCAAAATATTTAACTATTGTAAGCTGGGGGCAATGACAACACTAGGGTGAGTGTAAGCATTAAATAATAGTATGTACAGGGCTTGCACATAGTAGGAACACCAATAACTGGTAACCACTGTTATTATGAAACAGGCCTCGATAATAAATCTACATTCCACACCTTCATTCATTTCTTCATTTAGCCAAACATTTCTCTGCCTTCAGAAAGGACTGAACACACACCACATCTGCATATGTTAAGACAAGCTGACCTCTAATGCAAGACCCACACCCGACGCTAAGAACCCTTTTAGATTGTGCACTTCTTGATGGCAGGGTTGTTCATCTTAGCATCCCCAGGGCCTAGCACACTGCTGGGCATGCAACAGGCACTGGACTTTGTATGCTGACTGGGTGGTAATTTGAGTAATTTAGCTTATATTGCTGGGGTGAATGTCCTATATTATTTCCCTCACCTATGAACTGCTCCTTTCTTCCCTGTTAAGAGTGACAGCCCTATTTATCTCCTCAAAGACCATTAGTTTCTCCATAACATAATCCAGATAACAACCCCAATACCTCAGCGAGGCTTAGCAAAATGACTTGTACACAGTAGGTGCTCCCCAAAAACGTGCTGAGTGAATGCTGTTCCTGGATTATGCCCAAATAAGTCCCCTTATTTGAATCTGAAAACCTGTACCCAAATCTTTGAAAGCACAGAAAGAAAAAATTGTGTATTTTATTACTATTAAGAACTCCCTAGAATGTGAACATGAAGAAAAACTCAGCCACTTAGGAAATGAAGCACCTCTGTTTCATGAGACCAAAATTAGAAGGAACGATGAAAGTGAAGCCTCCTACGCTCTCTACAAAGCCAATGAATATGTCTCTGTGGACCTTTAGAACACCTATTTTATGTCTTAACCGTTTAAGGATTTCCTAACTCCATTTACTTTCCAGCCATTTGACCTTGGAGACAAATAATTTCATCTCTCTAGGCCTCAATTTTCTTCTCTGTAAAATGGAGATAACGACTGTCCCTTCTTCATAAAGGTTATATGAGGGTTAATATGATCATGCATGCCACGTACCTACCAAGGGCCTGGTACAGGGCAGCTGCTCAATAAATGAGCAGAACACGCCTCCTCCATCATCAAAGATAAAGTGCTGGCCAGTATTAAATAACCAAGCAGACCTTCATTCATCATGTTGGACCCTCCCCTTCACCAGCACTAAGTATTGACCAATCTAAGGCTTTAAATGGAGTCTGTCCTACTGTGTCCCCGACAGTGGTCCTGGAATGCCGGCTTGCTCCCTTCTTGGGAAAACTGTCTTCTCCTGGTCTCCTAGTCATTTACTCATAACTTCCGAACGGTCACGAGTAAAATGGCACACGTCAGTGTGCTTTGGTCGCTGAATAAGCAAAACACTGGCTTTTTGCTTGGAAAACGCTCACACACCAGGATGAAATCTTGGCAGCCAATCCGTTTCTGCCTCCCCAAAGCTGCCATCACACTGTGCCAGCCTCACCATGACTCCCAGAACCATGTGGGCCTCTTCGCCCCCAAAAGTGAAGCCCAGAAGTAAACTCTTTGCCTCTTTTACCATATATTTCTGACCCATTTCCTAGAGGGCTCATCTCAGAGATTTAAACAAAAGCACCAACATCTGCAAAGCACAGCACACTGCCAACAGGACATAGTAAAAGGCAGACTGTGGGGTAATTTGGGGTTCCAACCTTGGAGATCTAATATACATTTTTAGTTGAGACTTATGTATGTTTATTAGGAATCCAAAGAGCAAAAAATGTACATAAATAAACAGGAAGATATTTAATTACTAGAACTAGAAAAAGATTTTTTTTAAAAAGAAAAAATTCCAAGCTGCCCAAATTAAGTCCTATTCCTGAATTTCCACATCACCAAAAAAGTACCCAAAAATTTTACTCCTAAGAATAACCACAAGATAGCACAAACAGCGTTCTTAAAATTTCCAAGCATCTCACTTGTGAAGCATATGTTAACAAGATTTTGTGGTTTGCCCCAAAACTTTTCCTTATATTTTGAGGGTAATAACCTTAAGTCCCATATTGTTTAAGAACTGAATTCTGACCTACTTAAAATATTTATCACAATGTATCCCTTCCATATCTGTAAGCTTAGAGTTAAAAATAAAAACCCAACTGTGGTAGTGATCTACCAATAAGAAACTGAAGGGTATATTTCGCATTTATGCAAGTCATGAGTCCAATCTCACAGAATACGATTCAAGAGTTAAAAGATGCAGACTGGGGACAATGACTTCTTGACCAGTTCTGTACTCAAGTAAAGAAAAAGAATTACAAAATTATTGTGCCATTCTAGATAAAACATTTACTGCTATATTTTTGAGAACATGAGTATTATCAACGTACTCTAACATGACACTTTTGAACTTCTAGCCTGGTTTCAATCCCTTCTCAAGTTCATAGGTGACCACATTTGTATTACGATTGGATCTATTTTTCTACCCAACCTTGCAAAACAGTATTTATTCCTCACAAAAAAATGCATCTGTTGCATTTGCTTTTAAATTTAGTTACCTCAAACTAAGATCAAGAGCAGCCGCATGTAACTTAACATTAACCCTATCCTCTGGTGTAGCTGCAAAATATGGGCATATACTCCTACAAATAGCATCACCAACTACTTACCCTTATCACCCCCTACACAAACAGAATACAGTAACACTATCTGAATGTGCAGGAGAGGAAAGTTAAAATAACTGACAGCTCTATTAGCAGGCAGTGAAGAACTTATCTAGAAGGAAAATAACTGCTCAGTCTAATCAATGCCACATCCTTCAGAGGCATACACAATTAGTACAGAAAAAGGATGCAAAATGCTCCTCCATCAGCATGTTCCAATTTACCACAATTAAGTGAAGGACAGACCTATCATGACATGGAAAGCCTGACAACTCGGTTTAATCCCAGACACTAAGCATCAGGCTGGTGCAAGACTGACAGTTCACAAAGACGAAAAAGTAAAGAAAAAGATCTATTTACCTCTGGGTTTCAAACAAACTGAGTTAGGTGGTATTTCTCCAACTGAATTTCAAAATTCAGTTCAATAACCCAACATTAGCTTCAAAGAGAACTCTAGAAGCATCCTCAACTGGCACAGACTGTTCACACTAATTTGCATCACCAGGCAGGCAAGATGGGACCCAGCACGAACAGAAATCGCTCCCCTCCTGAAATTTAGGAGCCCTGTGCTTCAGAACGCCAGTTCTGCGTATAACCTGGCCTGAAGAGCCTCAAAGCCGTATCAAGAGCAGTTTGCCCACAAAAGCCCAAGCTTCTCAACATTACAGACGGCTGGCCACGGCAAGCTTAAATCAGAAAGGGCTCCCCAAACCTCCAATGAGCCAACCGCAAGATAATCCACCCAGGGAAGACGATGTGCCTTCCTAACTTCCCCCAATGCTGTCTTTTTAGGCTGAAATAGGTTTGGCTTGTTTGGAGGGGAGTGGTGCTTTATGGCACGTACAGATGGTGCAGAGTTTCAGGGCAAAAGACCTATTTTTATAGAGGTTCCGAGGCTTCTGCAGCTCGTGGGCTTGCAGGTTGCTCCTAAGCTACCCACCCCGGCCTAACACTAACTCACTTAAAATTTTAAAGGAAATTGCCATGCCCTTGGCCCTGCCCCCAGACCCCCACAACGGTTCTTGAAGGGTCCACATAAGAGGAGCTGTTCTTTCTGCTGTCTCAGGCCTCCCTTGTCCCCAGCTGGCCAGCTTTTCCAGGCAGCATCGGCCTCAGGTCTCCTCCGTTCACAGCCTATGAGTGCCCTGTGGGCAAGTCCTGCTGGCGCAGCAGCTTCGAGCTCTATCAAACCTCGGGAGAGCGGAGCCGGGTGGGGACCTGTCTGCACAAACCTCTCTTTCCACCCAGGGCTTCAGGGGCCGGGGACTAGCGGGGAGGAATCCTGGGGGAAGGCAGTCCCAGCCTGAGCTCCCTCTCATTCCTCTGGGATTTTTCCACCGGCCCCTGCCTATGCGGCCAAGCCTGCCTGGCCGAGCCGTGGAGAGATGCATTCACTGACCATCTCCCAGTCCCTTGCTGGTGACCTTGGCCACGTTGCTTCGCCTCCCTCTGCCCTGGGTGGCCTGAAACCACCTACTTCTCGGGTTATGAGTCGGTCACAATGATGGGGAAAGAACCGAGCAGACCGCCTGGCATCCAGGAAGGGCGCAAGACAGGGAAAGGACTCCCTCTTCTTCCTCGGGGTGTCCAGAGCTTACTCAGTCCTCTCCCCACCTCCAGCCCCCGGGGTCGGCGCCGGGGCAATGGGGGCGGGGGACTGCACATCCCAAGTCCCCCATTCACCTGGGAGCGGGGGAGGGGGTGTGGCTCCCCCAGCCCCCAACACCCCCTTCCTCCCCGGCTCCGACATCGCGACAAGCCCACCGCGAGGCAGCGGCTGCGAGCAGAGGCGGCGCGGCGTCCCCGCGGGCGGGCCGGGGTCTCCGGGGGGCGCGGCGGCCCGACCTACCTCCTCCAGCAGCGTGACGGTGTTCCTGCAGTTGTGCAGCCGCGTGGTGAAGCTGGACGTGGTGGGCGAGTTGTAGTCCTCGGTGGTCTCGGCGATGAACTCGGAGACGGAGATCTGGTCCGGCATCCTGCCGGGGGGGCGAGACACAAGCGGGGGCGGGGGGTGAGTCACGGCGCAGGCTCCCGGGGCCGCGGGCCGCCCGGCGGCTCATGAACGCCCCGCGCTCCCGCCACCCGCCGCCCGGCCTGGCGCGGCTGCCGTCCCCGGCGGCGGCGGGAGAAAGGGCGGGCGGGCGAAGCAGGCGACGCTCGACGCGGGGCCCTTCAAACTCCGAGCGGCGCGCGAGGCTGGGGGCTCTCCAGGACCCGCCTCCCTCTGCTCATGCCGGCGGCGCGGGGGCTCGGGCCGGGCAGCTCGCGGCGGCCGGCTGCCTCCTCAGACGCTCTGACAGGCGGCGGCGAGGACACCGACTGCCTGAGCGCACACTCCCGCGGGCGGGCGGCGCTCCC